ATATGTCAACTTCTCTTCAAGAGAGAAGGTATTTAATTATTTTTTTCAATCAAAAGCAAGACAAAGCACTTGAGCTTAACGTTGACATAATCAACTCAATTTTTTAGAAATACCCATTGGCGAGTGTCCGGTTCTATCGTGTCGCTACACATTATGTGTTTTTACGCCATCAACGACAGAGTTTAGATCATTTGTGTCACGACGCTGTGGAATCAAGCGCTCGACAATTTTTTGTCATATAGTGTTACTAATATCATCTAACAGATTGTTAATTTGTCTTGCATTTGCCAAAAATATATATATTCTCATCTATCTTGAAAAGAAGTCAAGGTATATTGCGATAGAAAGAGAGGGGTCGCCTGGTGTCAGTGGGAAAACGGCTGCCTTGAAAATAGGAAATTTACATTTTTGTGCCATTAACCAACGTTTTTCTGTAACATCCACGCAGAAATGTGTTTTTAAAGGACATAAAGGGGTTGGTTCAAAAAATAAAAATGTAAAATTCGAAGTGTATATTGCCTAATGCTAAGAAAAATGCCAATTTCTTTGATTTTATTGTTTTGACAAGCGCCTGATTTCACCACAATGCCTCACATTTAGAAGGCAGACATAAACCTGGCTGACAGGGAGAGAAGGATCGATTCAACACCCCACTAGAACGACAGAGATACTGGATACTAGTAATCTCCGCACGGGAATCGAACCCTGTTCTCCTGCGTGCGACTATGATGCATCTTACCCAGTAGACCACTGGTGCCGATAGCTGTGCTTTAACCTAACCCTGAAGGTTTCCTCATAACTGCGCAGACATTGAAAAAAATGAGAGCAACGGGTTGGGATTTCAGCGCCTGAGCGTTAACGTTACTCGCAAACTTGAAATATGATATATCTAGACCCTACACTGACGTTGCTGCATCTCTTTGCACTCTATAATAAACTTCCCTGCGGTGCTAGCGCACTTTGGGCTAAAAAATAAAAAGCAAAACGCCACACTCGTTATAGTTGAGTGCGCAGTTACCCCTTGCCCCCCCTCCCTCTCTCTCTCTCTCTCTCTCTCTCTCTCTCTCTCTCTCTCTCTCTACCTTTCCACCTCACCCCTCCGTTCCCCCTTTGGCCTTCAACTGGCTCTACTCTTAATTGAGTCATGTGGTGCGCTCCACAGAGAACTGGCATTGCATCAGAGAGCACGGTATACGATATTTTAATAGTAATAGTAATATTCGTCTCTATCCTTACCAGAGTCCGACCCACATTTTGCAGTCAGGAAGTCGTGTTTTATATAAACTCGTGATATAGAAATGGAAAAACCCTCATAGACATTTAATTGTTGCTTCGCGACGGTTGGCTTGGCCTCAGAGCTTGTATTTAACTAGAGAGGCATGCTTTGATAGCTCATAGACGCAGGATAGTTGGCTGTCGTTCACACGTCACACACTGAAGCACATCAGATTCGGCATTTTCGGACAAAGGTAAGGAGCGTTTTTTCCGCTGAAGTGCTGGGGGGGGTTCGTTTTGTTTTTGGTTTGGTTTTGGTTTGTTTTTTTGGTTGTTTTTTTGTTTTGTTTGAGATTACTTGAACCGGTTCACTTTTTAGTTATACTTATAGTTTCGTTCTAGAGAGCATTTTAGGACACTTGCAAAAGCAAATAGATCTAGATTCTACGTCATAATCGTAGGTCATGTAATTGCCGAAGATTACAGGTGTTACTGGAGAGCAATATGAACAGAAAAGAAGAAGGAGAGCTGATGAAGACGATGTATTATGTTTGATTGGGAAGACGGGGGCAAACCACACCAGAACACCCGCCAACCACCTAAATGTCGGATTATACAAATATTACTCAAATGGGCTCAAAGGATAATTGTCGGTGTTGATAATATCTTCTATTTCTAGAGACATAAATACGAGTGTGAATACCTATTTAAGAGGAGATATTCATTCATTTTTTCCAGGGAGAGTGCGATTTGTGGAGGAGGAGGTGAACGTTTACTTACACTTTCGATTTATGTGGGGGGCAAATACAGCCGAACCTGTTAAAGATAACTGTTTTTAGACGGGTGGTCCTCTTGGGCAATGTAATTATTATTAACATCATTAAAGAAAATACCCAATTCGGTTAAAGGTTGAGTTTGTGTGTGATGGCGGGGGGTGAGATGTGCTATTTTGTACAAGTGATTGTCTTGGACAAAAGTTCGTTAGTGCAGGTTTGACTGTACCTTCTCATAGAAGATTTTTAGTAGGGTATTTGTAATGTTAGAGAAAAAAAAAGGAGAATTAGATTTTAAAAAAAGGAAATTAAAGTTAAATCCAGATACGATAGACATAGGTTTACCAATGAAGGAAACTAGCAATGAACTCTCCCAAGCCTTTGTGGGCCCAAATAAAAATAAAATATCAGCACAGCCACACCAATGTTTACATTACATGATATTATGTGTGTGTGTGTGTGTGTGTGTGTGTGTGTGTGTGTGTGTGTGTGTGTGTGTGTGTGTGTGTGTT